CAACCGTCTCCACCGCCGATCCGTGAGCCGAGTCCACGATTCCCATCTCCACCGCCGCTGTCGCCGTCATCTTCTCCGCCGTCAACACCACGTCCCTCTTCGCCGCCGGAGACCCGATCTTCAACCTGATCAGAGCCATGAACCACTCCGGGATCACGAGGTCGATGTCGAGTTCGCTCATGTACAGGAATCCCCTGTCGCGACGCATCAGGACGTAATCGTGGCTCATAGCCAGGATGAATCCGGCAGCGGAAGCGTGACCGGTGACGGCGGCGATAGTCGGCATCGGGAGGGAGATGAGGTCGGCGACGACAGATCGAAGTTTGGCGTCCATGACGGGGAGAAGAGAGGGATCTGATTTACCGAGATTGAGGTCGTAGCCATTGGAGAAGAATTTGCCTTCAGCTGTGGTGATGAGGACCGATTCGGAAGACGATGAATCGTACCGGACTCGGCGGACGGCGGAGCGGATGGCGTCGAGAACGGCGGGGCTGAGGCGGTGCTCGCCGTCGCCGGTGAATGTCAGTATGAAGAGTTGACCACGCTTCTCTAGCGTACACATCTCTCTTTCTCTCTCTACATGATCATTTTATTTGTCCGACCATTTAAAACTCAAATACGTGTTATTTTGGATAATCTAACGCATTTCGTGTTTTTCTTCTAAATATTACAGATAATTATAATTATAAAATAAACATTTAAACATTTAAAATAATGCTAAGTTTTTGGATATTTTCTTTAACGAAGAGTCCTTGAAGTTAATGACAGGAAGATGTTAAATTGCCTGTTGAAATTCCAATAATTTGGATTGGAATTAGAATTTGTAAATGGTATTTGGATTTGTAAATAAAGATGGTATCTAAAGTTTGGAACAAAATTATCAGTAAAAATGGTAAGATATGATATTCGAATTTTATGATAATAAAGTAAAAATATTATATGATAGATATGTTTTCACATCTTATCCAGGTATCAATCCTTAATAGTTTCACCCAAAACATTATTTAATTTGGCCAATATAATATATTGACTGAATCCATGTGTACGGATGACTTATTGTAAATGATGTATGTATAAATATATAAAATACACACACATATATATGGATCCATATGTATATAAGGAAATGATACTGGAAATAATAAACGGGTCAAACGTACCTTTAATTAATTAATTGCTTCAAATACGTATATATAGTTACATTGGATCGATGAATCCAAGATTTAACATCGCAAATGTACTATATACAAAGAATCAACCACATGTACATGTACGTACACGTGTGAGTGTATGTATGTATGCACATTATATACAAATCATCTCTTATTTTTGTCTCAAATATTTGTATGTGTGTATATATATATATATGTATGTATAGGTTCTCATAGACAACCTTTGGGAATGACGAAACCAAGTTGGGAGCCGACGACGTTGGAGCAGGAAGTGACGGCAGCATCACCGTAATAAGTCAGGTTGATGTTTTGCATGCGAATTCGAGTGCATGGGAATTGTTCACTGCAGTCCATCTTTATCGCAATCTTCGTCGACGATGTCCCCATTATTCCGCCGTATATTACGTCATTTATCCTTATTCCCGATTCCTGTAACACACACATGACACATATATGTATATATATATTGTTCAGTCGATACAGCGTATCACATTGATCATGCATGCAAACCACACGTATCCTCAGATTGGACTGACAGTTTACCAAAGGATAACCAATAATAGGGTTTTATTTTATTTTAATTTTTTTTTTATAACGATGAGAACCCGACGGCCCTTTGGGTCGGACCCTGTATCGTCCCACAACTTTCGGACCGGACAATCGGTATCGCGGACAGTAAACTCCTGATCCTACGTAACAGAGACAAACTACGCAGAGCAGATAAACCAGTCGAAACTGACCGGTTCAGAGTAATTTCCATACCAGGGTTTCGAACCCACAACCTCAATGGGTTTGTCATCAACCATCGGGATGGGGACTCCCCTAATAGGGTTTTATTTTGTTATCAAGATCAATATATATCCAATTATTGATCTCATGTCAAACCAAATCAAATCCAATTATATTTTCTTTAACCAAACTGAAATAAAAGCTAGATTAAAACCGATCAAGTACTAAGGGAGAAAGAAGTTTTTTTTTTTCCAAAGAGGCAGAAGAAGGGGAAGGACCTGAGGAGGACATTGAGAGTCGCCGGGGCAATAGTTCTGGTCAATGAGGATAGGGAAACGGACGCCGACCATGACGGCTCCCAAGAATCGAACCCTCTGAACGAAGCCGTTGCTTTCTTTGGGCCATGACTTTATCCTCAACCCGTTATCAGTCCGTACGAACACCGCCTTCTTCACCGTCACGTTCTGAACTCCTTGTTCCACTTCCGCCTTTCCCAAGCTCCCAATGCTTCGCCCCAACAACAATAAACCAGAAAATAATCACGCTTTCTTGTCATAATACATGTCCTTATAAACCAAGAGAGCTTTGGATTGAATATGACAACGGAAACAATCTATATATAGAGACCTGATCCCGTGGCCGGGGCCGCAAGTGACTCGCTCGATCCATAGATTCTTGGTTCCGGGGCCGATTGAGATGCAGTCGTCACCGGTTTTGATGGAAGCATTTCGGATCTCGACGTCCGTGGACAACTGAATGTGAATCCCGTCTGTGTTGGGGCTCTGGTCGGGTGCTATGATCTGGACATCTTCGATCTTGACGTTCCGACATCGGTTTATTGCAATGTGGAACAGTTGGCTGTTCAGTGACAACAACCCTTTGATCTTTACGTTGTTTGAGTCCACGAATCTTATTGTCTGCACAAACATATATTAGGGTTTTTGTTCAGTAGATGTTAGAAACTCAGTTTCGTTATGTTATTCCTGATTTGATTTGGTTAGGGCTTGTTATAGTTTTCTTTGTTCTTCGTTTTCATGAATAACATACCGTTGCGCCTTCGGGGCAGTCATGCCCGTTAGCCTTACAGCTCCACAAAGATGACCCCTTCGCGTCAAAAGACCCTCCAACGATCGTAACTCCATTGACTCCAACGAAATTGATCCAGTAATCTTGTTTCGCAAGCAACCCATAATCTTGTGGACCAATCAACGTTCCGTCAATCCTTAGGGTTATATCTCTGTTTCCGCAGCTCTCGCCTTCAAATCTCAAGGCCTGCCCGATCAAATACCTTCCCCTAGGCACGTAAATCACCGTGGAATCCGCTGTTTCGCAAGCGGCCTTCCAAGCATAGGAAAACGCTTGCGTGGAGTCCACGGCACCGTTGGGTGTAGCCCCGTAGCTCAGAACATTGAGACTTCTTCTTGCATGGAACTGATCAGAGAGTGACAGAACAATGGTGACTATTGCGATGGCAGTGTAAGAGCATCGGACAAAGCTTAGAGACAATGCCATTTCTGTGTAATAAGACAATCTAATCGAAGGAAGAATGTCTGGTTTCTGAATTTTGCGTGATTTTTGTCGATGGGTTTGAAGAGAGTTAATGTAACATCAGATCGAGATATTGTACGTGTCTTTGTGCATGTGTGTGTGTATGCATATATATATACGTAGATATATACGATGTTTTGGATAAAAAGCGAGGTGGGGCTTTCTTGGGGCTTAAGAAACTGAAGTATGAAGGAAGCTGCGACGCCTTTGGAATTCTAAGGCATTTTATTCAAACTAATTTCTTGTATCCCAAGTAACCTTCGAGCCTCCGTACGTAACGTTGGAAAAAAAACAATCCTTCAAACATGCGTCGAGTATTTATGAAGCGATACTCCGATCTTTGATCCTTTTCATACAAATGATTATTAACCTTGGTGAATTGTTTCCACTATAAGAAAGAATATAACCAAGATTTAATATATATTTTTTTCTGAAACCCTAATGTGAACGAATTTATTATTCAAACTCGTTAATTTATCCGAGACTAATATATAATTTTCGCTTAATAATACGCCAACCAACCGTAAAAAAAAAAATTCAAATATAACTGTTAACTTTTAAAACCATAGTAGATTGGCATAGCCAAGAACTAATCCTCGGATTAATGGTAAATCATGTGTCAATTGTATAATTACATGACGATGAAATGGTAAAAAGTGGATGTCATATCATGTTTACATTTGACTACGTCGATTTCTCCGCTAATTAATGGTCATATAAAATTGATTATATATAGTTTCACCTGGAAATTGAGTATAATTGATGTGTGATTATGTCAAATCAAAGCGTATTTTTTGTTTTAAGGTGGCGGTCTTTTAATTGAGATTTTCCATTTATTTTATTAAATACTTGGTCAGTTTTGGTTCTTTGCTTGAGCCGTACTTTACGATAAACTATATATGTTTTGACTATACGCATTACATATGCAATCACAATTGTGTACTGAAATAACTTTGCTTTATCAGACAACAACGTTGGTCAAGAAACTGTTGCATAGTTCTCCTAGAAAAGTAATGATTTTCTCCATCAGTTTTATTGGAATGCTCATAGAACCTTAAATTGTTCTCAAGACTATTTCTACTTCAAGACATACCCTTGTGACCATGTGACCAATATGACCGAAATATAGTATGGTCACATTTTGATTTTATCGATTATAACGTTAAATTTATGATGTTTTAATCAAATGATTAGTAAGATATGTAAGACTTACCCTTCAATGTTTCAATGCTTTTTTTTTCATATATATATATATATATATATATATATATTCTTTAGGTTCTTTATTTTGATACCAACTTTTGATATCTTAAGATGCTAATAAAGACATAATTATCTACTTTAAGTATCCGTACAAATCACGATTAAAATAAACAACATGAATGATTACAAGTTATTTTTTTTCCCTTTCTTGAGTTCTCTTTTGTTACAACATCGTTTTTAGATTATATATTTTAACCATACAAAAAAAGTGCATTTTTAACGCTATATTATATATATACTCTCTCAAATTACATATAATAAAAAAAACTTCGTATAGTTCCACAGCCAGATCTAGGTTGATAAAATTACTCTTATTGATCTCTACAAATCCTATGCGGCATTTCACGTATAGATGTATTTCGTGTTATTGATGATATCACGAAGGTTTAATCTGATCTCATTCTGATAATCACTGCGTCCGTTTCTTGGAGATATTATCTTGGATTTGGATTATATATCTTCTTTTGTATATCTATAAAAGAGTTTGTTATTATTATTATTATTATTATTATTATTATTATTGTTATTGTTTCTTATAGATTTGTATTTAATGGAATTGTTCTTTGTTTTGATAACACAACAAAAGATTATATATTTCAACTCCCGGGGGGGGGGAATTTTACCTAGTCAGCGCGCTCGAAAAGTAGTATTTAGGGGTCCTCTGTTATAAAAAAAAAATTATATATTTCAACATGTATATAAATGTATATAAGAGCAAAACTTTCTCACGTGGCGTTTTGTATTTCTTTGATTCGTTTTTTCCCCTTCATTTCATTTCAATCTTTATTGATTTCTTTACTTTTCCCTAAAAAGGCGTCTTTAAAAAACTAGTAAACATGTTTTTTAGCCAAAAAAAAATCCTCACTTTTAGAAAGTTTTTAATCGAATCTCATCTTTATCATTTATAATTTCATTTTCTAAACTAAAACAAATTAGAAATGGACGTTTCAGTTTTGGTTATTAGTTTATTTGGATTGAATTATTTCGATGTAAAAAAATTATATCCATTTAATTTTTGTACAATAAATTTTCTTGAAAAATATTCTATTTTAAAAACTGATTTTTGTTATTATTTTTTATATTCGATTTCTGATATTTTTAAAATTAAAGATATTATTTAATATCAGCTCATATCGTTTCGATTTATATCTACCGCATCCAATACATATAGCTAGGGTGACTATTTCAAGTTTCGATTCGATTATATTCAAGTCCGATTATTTCAGTTATAGAAAACTATAATCATTCGGTTTTTATATAAATGTCGATTCGATTCGGTTCGATTTTAATGAAAAAATCGATTTAATAAAAAAGTCTTAAAGAAATTATCGATTTTTTCATTTTTTTATTCGGTTTGGTTCGATTTTTTCGGGTTTAAAAAAATCATAACCGTTTAGTTTTGATGTCGAATTCAATTCGAGTATGGTATGTTTTATTCGATTTGATTCCGTTCGATTATTCGATTAATAACCGAAATGGTCACCATACCTATAGTTTATAGCTTCAATTATGATTATAAACTTCAATAATTGCCCATATATAGATAAATACAAATTTTTATAATATGGATATATATATGGTATGTATAATATATATATATATATATATATATATATATATATCAACTACTGTGCAACATATATATATTTTTTTTAAAAAGAACGCACGCACGACCTTTGGTCTTCCACCAAGACCGAGAAAAATGAAAAGCAAAAGAAGACAAATCAACACGATGGAAATAACCCCTCCGTGTCTTCTGCAGACCGCAGGCGCTGTCCCATCCGTACGTGCCTCCATAAACAAGACAAAAAACACCCACTCCTATATCTATCCCCGTGTACAACACAACTATATCTGCGTGTATATATATATATATATATGTGTATTTGTGTAATGTTGCTAGCAGCGAGTGAAGAATCGAAGATGGGGGGTTGGATGACGTCATCATCATGGGAGCTGATGGAGAGGGCAGAGGAGGAACTAGAGATTCTGCAAACCCAACACCCAAACCGGTTCCAGTATCTGAAATCTGAGCTCGAGTCTTTCATCTTCCTCCTCCGTGAAAACCACGCGCCGCCGCCCATCTCCGGCGACGTGGTCCTCACTCAAGGTATATATATATATAGACTCAAGGTCTCATTTTGTAAAATTTTATAGGGTTTAATCCAATTAACCTGATGTATTTGGTCCGAGCAGCATCATCAAATTGTAAGAAAAAGAAGAGCAAGAAGAAAAGAAAGAGAATGGACAAAAGTGGAGATCAAGTCTCATCCTTGGGCAGTAAGAAGAAGGACAAAAGGGCACAAAGAACAATGGCAGAGAGCAAAGACAGAGTTGATATGGTTCTTGAAAAGGCTCAGTTATGCCTTGAGAAGATCAGAGATGTGAAATCATCCTTGTGCTAATTAAGAAGATGGTAATGTCGGATTTAGAGATACCTAATGTTTTCCGAGACATTAAGTAGCAATGATGTACAGACAAAACCTATTCTTTCTCGTAATTGTGCTCATCTAAAACTCGGTCTTGATCCCGTTACTCGGGAGAGGTTCTTTGGCCTTGACAGTCTCGCCCCGTCAGATCTTCTCCATCCATACTTGAAACCTGAAACCCAGAACTGGTCTCGTCGAGACAGAGGACGACACAGATTGAGGAAGTGTCGGATTGGGATACACGGACCTAACATCCCTTATTTTCCTTGGTGGCACTTTCGTTGTTTTCAATATCTGCGAGAGATACTCACAGATATACGGCGATGATTCGCATCATCAAGCTCTTCTTCGTCCAGTTCCCCGACAACACTTCTGGTGGATCAGACATGGAAGAAAAGGAATGTGCCACCATGAGATCATCATGATTTCGTGATGTCGGATTCGGATGCAAGGGCAGAGAGTCGGAGATCGGTTGGCGCCACCGAGACTAGCATCGGTGAGCCATCTCTCTTAAAAGACCTAATTTTAAAACACATTTTTCTGTTTGAAGACTCGGTCTCTGAAACCCTAATTTCCCTGGCCGCCTACCTCACCTCTGAATCGACCCATCCGACCACCGACCTCTCGCTCTGACATCTCGCCCCATCAGATCTTTACTACACTCGTGACCTCACGCACCCTCATGGGAACGGGTGACCATTCAAAAGAAATCTGCAGCTCAGGTTCTCGCTAGCAGCTCAAGTTCCCGAATTCTGGGTACTCGTGGGGCAGATACCCATGGGTCCGCAGGTTTGGGTACCCACTCCCAGCCCTACCAGTGATTTCACTATACCAAGGCTTAAGTTCGAGAAACCTTGTCAAGGATACCAAGGGATCACCAGAAAGATTCAACTGCATCCCCAGATGCAAAGGAGACATGACATATACTCGTGACCTTAACGATTCGATAACACAATTGGTAAAAGAAATTCTCAAATGAGGGAAAAAGATCTAACCTCGTTGATGCACACCATCGGGCATCAAACGGATGAAAAGATCATCGGTAAATCTTTGTGAACCATCCATCACCATACCAAATGCGTCAGTACATACAAAGAGAACATGTGCTTACACAGCAATATGATAAACCCGTCGCAATTCATAAAGCACAAATTTTTCAGTGTATTTGAATCAGAGAAATCCATAAGGGAGACAGAGTTACTATTACGTCGCAACATACAAAGTGGAAAACGTAAAAGCAAATAGAACAATCACAGGATATGGAGAAACCCAACACACAGAAGGAATTAAGGGTTTTGTACTGTTTCCACTGGGGGTAAGATCACCTCATTCAAGCAGCCTCCTTCACAGGAGCAGGGCCAGGGATCTTGACGTAACCCATCTTCTTAGGGGTCGAATCATCGTAACCATCGGTCTCGTAATCTTCGTCCTCGAAGTTGTAGCCATGGCTGTTCGCCACGAGAGCCCATACGAGGTACATGGTCGCGCCGGTGAGAGCGCCGCAGCCGACGCCGAAGAGGAGAGCGACGAAGATGCTGAGGATATCCCTGGTGCGATCTCTGAGGGTGTTCTTGGGGATGAAAGAGGAGGAGAATTGGGGGCGAGACGCCTCCGACGACCGTACGATGGCGGAGGGGAGGAAGCCTCCGCCGTCGTGGCGGCGGTGGAAGAGGTAGGGACGGAAGTGGTGGGAAGTGAATCGTCGGATGGTGAAGACGGTGACGAATCGGGTGGAGGAGAAATTTGGTTCACCGTCGAAATTAGGGCTAGGGTTTTCTGGGGTTATGGAGACGGAGTAGGAGGAGATGAGGAAGGTCTTGCACGGCCGTGCTGCGGCGGTGGAGATCGCCAGAAACCCTACGACGATCGCGAGGCGGAGGAAGGAGGAGGAAGCCATTAATGAACCTTGTTCTTCTTTTTCTTCTTCTGATTCGACGAACAAACAAAACAAACCACCTACCGGAAGTTTCGGTGGAGAGGAAGATTGCATTTCAGTACCTTTATCATATTCATGATGAAGTCCCTCATTTTCTTCTTTTAATCAAAATAAACCCCATAACTTTATTTATTTACACATACAGCCTATTTGTGAAATTTTTAGTTGATCAAACGTATAGAAGGATATTAAATATTTCATGCTCGGAGCCTAAACACTGCCTCATACTACGCTTCATTTCCTCTCCCAATGGCGATGGCCATTCTCGTCTACATCGAAAGCTATTTCGCCATTGACATATGCATTGGAAGTTGGAAGCCTCACCATTTCCATATGGAGGAAGCTCGACAAACGAAGGCAATGCATTCAACACAGCCGTGGCTACTTCGTTAGGGTTGAGCATATAACGAGATATCCAATTCCCGGTATATAGCCGGTCATCGAGAGAATGAGATGAGGAGCACCAAGTGTCGAAGACGAGGCATCGAAAACTCAGAAAGTTGGGCGGTAAAAGGCTACAAGCACCAACCCCAACTCGAACCCTAATCAAACGTGAAATGAGGTAATGCAACGAAGTCTCGGAGTGACGTAGGCAAGCCAAGTACCCGCACATACAGGTAATCGTCGGTCGACATCCGAACCCAAAAGCCATATCATTGTCATTATCAGTCAGACCCATATGCATCCTATCGATTGATAAAAATCCGATTTTCAGACACCCGATTCGCGAACCGTTAGGTTTCACGTCTGTTCTTATGCTGATGTTCTCTACTACACAATATGTCCAAAAACAGGGAAAAACATAACGACTTCATCTTTTGCTTAGTCATCTCCTTCTAGATTTCATATGTTATATAATGCTCGTCGATTATCTGCAAAACAAAGGTGATGTAGAAGTTCGACTGGCTTTCTTACATGCAGCCTAAGTTATGTCTGAACCGTGAACAAAACCAGATTGAAGACAAATTGTCATGCCGATCGGATCGATGGGGAAATGAATAGAAAAGCCTTAACGAATGAAGAAAAAGATGGGTAAAGCAAGAACTCGAACCATCGAAGAATGGTGTGTATCATTCACACTACTGAATAAAATACCACGAAACAACAGGATCATCAAATCAAACTAAGCAAGCAAATTTACTCAAACATTGTAACTGGTTCCACTGAAAGCAAATGACAAAACTCATTATACCATCTCGGGATGTAACTCCAGATTTCATCTTGCAACACGAAATACAAAAAAACTCCTACAATCCGATTTCACGCACAATCTCATCTTTCCTACTAAGCTAATTTATGGAGACAGTAAACCTTCATTGCCCAAGTCCACATTAGTCAGTCATAAGCTTATGAGCATCTTAAGTTATAAACACTAACAAGTTACAACATAACAGAAAGAACCATGATGAAAGGAAATATACAAAAACCCCTACTTTACAAGGTCAAGACATTAGACTTATTTCTCACTAGTTAACGTAGAAGATTCCGTCCCACGAGAGTAATGGACATAGAACTATAAGGATACGCCTACAGACATATATACACAAAAAGCTATTGAATTTGCAATGGAAGTCACCAAAAATGCCATCGGAATCAACAGCTACAACCCCAAGAATCAAAATTTAATCTTGAAACAGAAAACACACAAGCTTCCCAAATCTCACTTGACACAGAGGGTTCAAATCTTTTACTCCCATAGCTAATCTATGGGGTGACAAATGCACCCAACACAACCCATTGTGTCATACACTTGGAGCATCTAACATCTAACCACAAAGACATGACATCCAATGCTCAAATCCCAAAAGGCGAGAAATTGCACAAATTAGTTTTGAAGGAACTCAAAAAACTTCAACAGTTGAAAAGCATAGTCATCTATGGAACCACAAATTCGAAATTCAAACTACGATTATAGATAAACAAGAAGTCTTGACAATAACCGAAATCAACCATCAAAGTCTCGAACTTTAAATTGACAAAATCAAAATCTCAAAACATACTGATAAGCATATAGAGTATAAGTTCGCAAGTATCCAAAAAAAATCCACAGAACCTTTTTTTCAACGGTAACTCTTCTGGAATCTGGCACGAGCACCACGACCACCGAACTTCTTGGGTTCACACCGCCTAGGATCAGCAACAAGCAATGTCCTATCGTACCTCACGAGGATGTCCTTGATCTCCTTCTTCGATTGTTCATCCACATACTTCTGGTAGAACGCGACAAGAGCCTTCGCTATGCTCTGTCGGATCGCGTATATCTGAGAGGTGTGACCACCACCTTTGACGCGGATCCTCATGTCGACACCGGCGAAACGGTGCCTTCCGAGGAGGAGGATTGGCTCGAAGACCTTGAAACGGAGAATCTCAGGTTGGATAAGCTCAATTGGACACCCATTGATCTTGATCAGTCCGGAACCTCGCTTGCAGTACGTAACCGCTACAGCCGTCTTCTTCCGGCCGAAGCATTGGACGGATTCCACCGCTGGTTGCGCAGCCATGGTTAGGGTTTGGTGTTTCTTCTGTAGGGAGAGCCAAAGCGAGATAGAAACGGTAAAACCCTAGAACTGAAACAGAGAATAAAAGAGGGGAAAGCGGTGAACTTGTTGGGCTCAAAGTATTGTGTGTACTACATTACATTATCATTATGTTTTTGCGAGCCCAATTATGTATTTTTATAAATCCCAGTTATATGAGCAAATTAAATAACTATTGAATACAATTTTTAAAAAAATAAATATCAAATTGATTTAAAATATTGACAAAAGGGATTATTTTTTTTAATAATAATCGAATCCAAAAATAACGGTGGGATAAACTCATTGTAATAAAACTGAAAAAAAAATATCAAATTCTGTCCACGGTCCAATCATCAAACGGAAATAATAGTACAATGTTAATTATTATATGGTCTGCTTTTTGGCACCAAAATATCGTCATCGTTGAGTTATTGCGCGTTACTAAATTCAAAAGGTGAATATAGATTTCGGAGAATTAGTAAATCATTATGGTTTATCCTCTTCCTATAGTTAATCCGGAATCGAAATAAGTGAATAAAAAAGATTCATTCAACCGATCCCAAATGAAATTGTGAATGAGACGATGTTGTTGTTGTATTCAAATTGATTTACGGGACCTTTATCCCAATTATATGATTATTACATCAAAGATAATTTTATTATAATTAAATTGTATATTACCTCTCCAATCCATTGTTGTTCGAATTTGAAAATTCTTATAAAGATAATATCCTAACCACACTCTTAAATAATTTTAATTTTCTATTTATTTACAATTCTATTAAATTATACGAAATTTTAAAATAATATCTCTAATATCAGGGTCATGAATACATCAGAATCTATACGAGACGCATACATAAGTTCCATACTTTAATAAAATCACAAAAGAATAATATATAATACACGATCGATTTCATCAAAAATTCTAAATTCACGACCTTCAGTAACAATAACCTGTCCAATGTCTTAGGGCTCCCGAGAATACCCTACCAATACCATCATAGCTTCTACCTCAATATTTAAGTTTTTATTTGGATTCAATTTAGTTCATTTAGAAAAATTATATTTATATATATATATCTATAATTAGTCTAATCGAGTTATTTTTTTTGGTAGAGGGTAGGCATTAAGCACTGTGCTGATTCGAGTTGATTTTCATTCTCAATTTTTTTTTATAAAAAAACTTATTTAATTTTTGTATCAAAGTCGAATCCAAACAAGACTCGAATCGCATTCCCAGGTAAGCTTTATATTCTAAATTATTTGTTTGTATGAAATACTTTTCAGGGCAATTTGGGTTCAAACTTGATATTCTTAAAGCCATTTCATCGCAATTAATATCTATCACGATGCCTCTTTGTTACTAAATTTGATTCCAGTAACACGTGTTCTCGCACACAATTATATATTTAATTACTCAAAAAACACTATGTTTCTTAAGTTAAGGCCCTACCGCTGCAATTACGGATATAACGACAGCGTTTTCAAAATATTTGTCGACGGTTGACACTGATTAATTTCTCATAAAAATATTAAAAAATAATTATTTTAAATCTAAAAATTTTATAATCAGGTGATGCTATTATATTTTTTTATTATAATATCATATAAAAAAATTAAATTCAAATCATAATACTAAATAAAATCATCAACAAAATACATGTAATGTTTTACACAAAATCCTTATACAATTGAAATGAAAAAAAAACATAATAAAATTGAAGAATCGTGAAAAAAACAGAGAGAAATTCAAAAAAACATTCCTTCCTGGCAACTAATAAAACGAAGAATTTTTTTTTTATAAAAAAAACGAAGAAATTTAAAAAAAAAAAAAAGAGTAATAAAAAGTTAGAAGGCGGTGGATCAGATTCCTGGCTTGGAAATCTCTGAAAGAGATCGCTCGGTTTATTCAGCTTCGATCATTTGGGGAAATAGTCCTCACTTCCACCGCCTTCATTACAATTCCAACAAAACATACACACATACATATATATATATATATATTACGTATTTGCATCTAATAAAAACTAGGGTTTTATTAAAATCGAAAATGAGACCGATTAGGGTTTATAAAAGAATCTAAAAAAAACTCAAACAACAACAAGAACAGAGTATGAGAGAAGACGACCAAGACGAGACCGATTAGGGTTTATATAAGAAGCTTTGTTTACCCTTTAGAAACCCTAGCTAGCCGCGGAGCTCTACCAAGCAAGTTAGAAGAAAACTAGGGGTTTTTTTTTAAATGGGCCTGCTTTGGGCCCATATTTGGGTTATGAGCCCATTCTCGGTGGGACTTTGTTAGAGGAACTAACTCATTTATTTATTTGGATTAAAATATTTATTTGAAAAATTCTTTTGTCATTTTTATAGTCGATTCGATTAATTTGATTTATAAGAAATTAGACCTATAATCATTAGATCAGTTTCGGTTTAGATATGGCCACGTGTTATCAGATACGGTTTTGTATATGCGAAATAAAATGACCAATCTTAGTTAAAATAGATGAGGGAAACAGTTTTATATATTATAGGGATGGACCGACTGGAAATTGGACAACGCGTGATCGTGTAATCCGACCCACGGACCCCAATATCCTCAACTCGGATACGCTTACGCTTCACCTTCCTAGGATACCGGTAAGCGTGTTTCCAAACACCTCTGCTCCTCTTGAACCCATCTGCTCCTGCTCCCGCCACCGCCATAATCATCGTATTTCCGCCGTCGGAACCGCCTATCTCCGGTGAGAACGCAATGCCTATCGAGAGTAGCTAGGTTTTGCTTTGTCTCTTCGAGGGAAACGATTCGTATGTTTCACTTTTCACCAGAGAATTGTCGTCTCGCTACTCTATCCGATTCTTCGGGGACCTATACTCATATGATTCGATTTCTGTTGAAATTTAACCAGAATTTTCTCCAAAATTTTCAGGCTTGATTGTGAAATTACAGAAGAATAAATTCTTCTGCGATTAGGGTTTCGATAGGTGAAGCGAGAATGTTTACGAATAATCGAAGACAAGAGGAACGCACTGGAAAATACGGCACTCCGAGGCTTCAATACCTTCAGGTAACCGCACTTGCTCACTTATGATGTCTCTTTCATCCTTGTTTTTGCTAAATGATTAATGATGGTAGCTCGTTGGATGTTATTTCGAGTTTCAAGGTAATGCTTGGGGGGAAAAGATCGAGTCTTTATTAAAACCCAATCACGCATGGAAAAAAATTATGGGCTTTGATCATGTTTCTGAGATGTTTGTTGTGGGAATTTGAGGTGTTGAAGCTGATTTTTCGACATCATCACTTGTTGCAGGAACTGGTGAGTCAGTTTCAGAATGCTACCGATGAAGGTACGAGGCTATAGATCTTGTGTTATGCATGTGTTAATCTGATCTGATTGAACGTTTAAGTAATTGGTGTCAAAGGGATCTAACTATGGGATTCAGGGGAAGCTAGTTGGGTTCTCGGTTTCATCTCTTACCAAATCAGAAGACTGTTACTTTTGTGTTACTAGAATTCTGGTGTCATGTCCTCTGATCAAATTGAATTCCCTTGTTGTCTCGAGTGAAATGCTTTTGAGTAAAGTTTCATATTGTTATTTCTTGGTATCGTTTGAAGGAGTGTGTGGTCTCTGGATGGAATTGTTGGCGGGGAAAATGGTGTATATGAATGATCCTATTATATCGGCAGTTTCCAATGGTTCGATGTCTAGGTTTATGATCCATGCCCATGAAACTTAGTGATGAGTAGCATATTCTTATCTTAGATCTTGGGTTCTCTAGTTCACGAAAAGTAAAACTTATCTAAGTTGTCTTCTGCTTGATAAATATCTCTGCGTTCATCACTCGGCCTGCAAAATTGTTGATATGTTTTTGTCCTACTCCTCTTCAATGTTTGCTTGACTGTAGTAGAATAACATGTATTTTCCACGAATTGTTCATCATTTATCCGTTATGATTACTGGTTTGATCCTGCAGAAGCTAAGGAAAAGATTGTTGCAAATTTGGCAAATTTCGCATATGACCCTTACAACTACACTTTCTTACATCAGGTAGAGAGCCCCAGTGTCTGCCGATTTTTTGTTCTTCTGCCATGGATAACTCAGATATCCTCCATTATTTCTCTTCTCAACGACTTCTCTCTGTGTACTTGTAAGCAGCTAAATGTCTTGGAACTGTTCATAGACTGTATAACAGAACCAAACGAGAAGCTCGTGGAATTCGGGGTCGGGGGTATATGCAATGCCTCTGCCGGTGAGCCTCGATTTGTGAAACCCTATATTCTGCTGTCAACCCATTTTCCATTATTGATTTATCCTTGGATTCTTGCTTGGGTTGCTTTCTGATTCCTCCTCTGCAGATCCAAAGAGTGCTGCTATTGTGACCGAGGCCGGTGGGATTCCTCTGATCATCAAATGCTTATCCAGCCCGGTTCGGAACACTGTAAGGGCACGGTTTTTACTCTTCTAGTATCGATGTTTTCGTCTTTCTCCCCGTGAGTTTAAGCGAAAACCTGATATTTTCTAGGTGAATTACGCATTCGGGGCTCTGTATTATCTGTGTAATGCATCAACAAGAGAGGAGATTCTGAAGCCAGAAGTGGTAGAGCTGATAAAGAGATATGCAGACGCAGCGTCTGTTAGTGTAAGCTTCAGTAATTTGGCCAAGGCATTTCTTGACAAGCATGTTGTCCATCATGCAACTACATGACATATTTCCGTATATATAGTTTTGTACGCTAGTTTTATGTATCGATCTGATTCTGGATATACTCTTATACTATAGTTTTATGTATCGATTGGATTCTGAATGAGTGGTTAGTACTTAGTAGAATGCAGTCGATGAATAGTCATGCTTATGATGGTTGATAATGAGAAATATGTTTCTTTTCTTTTTCGGAAAATCCTATTAAACTAAATGAACCATTTAACAAATTTCAATATATATATATATATATATATAATCTTTTAGAATACTAAATAGTAAATAAATCAACATATTTTTAGAAGATCGAATAGGTGAATCTCATTCTTCGTACGTACATCTTAGATCTTGACCTTTTGAATTCCATTGTCTAAATCATGTCACAAAAAAGCCGTGGGTCCAATCCTGGGGACATTCCTCCACATTTTTATCTCACTTAACATCACGTATCCACACACACACACATATATATATATATATATGCACGTTTGTACAGATAAAGATATTTCAATTATTTCTTTTTAAGGAGAATACATTTCTATCCATATAAATATTTTCATTAGGAAAAAAAATAGGTGTTTATAATTTATTCATTTCCTTTTTAAGAAAAATATATTTGTATCCATAAAACTATTTCCACAAAAGTTAAATAATAAAAGAAAATATATGGGTGTCAGTGGATGCTACCTGCAACAGAGACGTCAACATCGGGCGGTTGGATAAACTTGAAATATTATTGAAATTTTGGGCAGTTTTATTTGTCAATCGTCAGGAAAAAAATGGATGCATTTGGAAATTTTCGAAGAATATAAATCCATGTGACGTTGAAATCTTGAAAATGACCTCGAATCCATCGTTCTTATAAAAACTATATTCCAAACTTTTGTGGGTAAAAATAGTTAGAATAAAGCTAATTTTAATTGACATTTCGTTTAAATAAATATTGTATTTTTCTATGAGATTTTAATTACGAATATATTATGAAATTAGATTGAAATAGATCTATATAATGTATATATCTAACCCCAAGATATTGATGCATTGCATTCTATTCTATGTATTTACTCACATTTAGGGGGAGTTGAGTATATATTATGAGGGGATTACACATCATAATGATGGCAGAAAATGTAAATAAATAATATTACAGGGGTGAAAACGAAGTTTTCCAAAAAGTTTAAATTAGCATAAATCAACCCCCCCCCCCTGTTCCAGCTTTTCACGCCTATATATGTTCCGTATCCATTGCTTCTTTGTCGTTCACGAGAAGTTCTCTCCTTAGACGACCTTCGCTTCTCCGCCGGAAAATCTTCTGCCCATCGATCTCCAGAGGTCGGTGAAGAAATCTGATCCGATCGACTAAATCCGTTTCGCTTGAAACCAAAAAACATCATGGCGTTTGAGAAGATCAAGGTGGCCAATCCCATCGTCGAGATGGACGGTGAGATCTCTCATTGCCTTCGAATCTCTGTTTTTTTTGGGGGGTTTCGAATCCGTTGGTGATGATTGGTTTATCGTTCGCTGTCTAGTTTTTGAAGAAGTTTTATGTTCTTTTGAATCTGATCCAGTGAGACATGCGTTTGGAAATGCGCAACCTGGTTTTTCTTCCATGTCTGATTCATTTTTGTTGTAAAATACGTTCATAGTTTTTGTAGCAATCGTATTTTTAACGTAAACCTTGGGTTTTTGAGGTAATCTTGTTCTGGACTTAGATTTCGCTACAGATCCTTAGAAATGGTTGAGGATTCAGTGAAAAAGCTGCTTGGTTGATTAGGTTGAATGAAAAAGTTTATCTGGTGACAGATCTATTCTGATTTCGGTCGGAGTCAATGCCTATTAAGAATTGATTCATAATTTGAAACTGAGGAAATGTGGCTGAAGGAGTATCTACCATCATGCATGAACTCTTCTGGGTCGAAGATCTGAAAAAATGTTTCCTTTTCAATGTTTGTTCTATGGATGTCTGTTTCTGCTGCTTCTAGATACAATTTGCGCCATTCTTGACATGTTTCTCTGTGGTTTTTTACTAATATGCTTTGAGCTCGAGGTACAAGTTGGTTTCTTTTACACTCATTTCCTTGCTTCCTTGGGTCTATTACGCAGGTGATGAAATGACTCGTGTTATCTGGAAGTCTATCAAGGATAAGGTAATGAGCTGCATACAGATCAAGCATCGAATCAATTTTGATGCCATGTATATTTTTTGTCCCTCTGTTCAAGATGGATTCGAAGTTATGTTTATGTGTATTTGCTTATATGTCTGTAGCTCATTTTGCCTTTCGTGGAGTTGGACATCAAGTATTTCGACCTCGGTCTTCCTCACCGTGATGCCACGGATGACAAAGTCACTGTTGAAAGTGCTGAAGCCACTCTGAAGTATGAGTTTGAACATGCTTAAGTTTTCCATTGGATAACCATTCAACTGCGTCTATTTCTACTTTCTTTTTGTGTCATTCATCTCTCTACCCTTTCTCTGTTACACTTTTTTTTTCCATGTTTCATTTACAGTTGCATTGTAAGTAGTTGAGGCTGTACGTTGGTTGTCGTAACTGAACTAAATCTTGTAGAAAATATTCTATAGATGAATTTGTGTTGAACCTCTGATGTGCTGTGTGGGATATCCTATTAATTAAGTAGTTGCATTTTGGTTTAGGTACAACGTGGCAATCAAGTGTGCTACTATCACTCCAGGTTTGTTTGGACATATGTTCGCACACACATAGTGTTTTCGCAACTGAATCTCTGGCAATTCTTTTTGTGATGTCATTGTTATGTTGATTTTCTTGTGACTTGGTAACTCTCTTTTTCCAACAGATGAAGCTCGTGTCAAGGAATTTGATTTAAAGCAGATGTGGAGAAGTCCAAATGGGACCATTAGGAACATACTTAACGGTACGAAATACAGCCTCTCTGTCCTAGACGACGGGGCCTCGAAGAAGTTCTGTTTTCATCTTAGTAAACTTAAAGCTTATCTAATACCCTTCTCTGTTACTTACTCCATGCCGGCCTTGTTTACAGGAACTGTATTTAGAGAACCAATCATCTGCAAAAATGTTCCCATGCTCGTTCCAGGTAGTTATAGACGCTGAGGCTTGCAGCATTAACCTTTGTATTGCTGTGGTGAATCTTAGGACAAGGCTTGTTTTTCTCCAGGTTGGACAAAGCCCATTTGCATTGGAAGACATGCTTTTGGTGATCAATATCGTGCCACTGACACTGTGATCAAGGGGCCTGGAAAACTGACATTGGTTTTTGGTAAGCTTACAACCTATGATTTCTTATCTGGTTTAGAGTTTGACATTGCATATCTCGAAATCTTTTTTCATTTCTTCTCTTGAATAATTGTTTGGGAAGCAAGAAAAAAGCTCTAATATAATAATTTTATTGATTTCCAGAGGGAAAAGATGGGAAGACAGAAATGGAAGTCTTCAATTTTACTGGTGAAGGGGGTGTTTCTTTGGCCATGTACAACACCGATGAGGTACTATTTTTTACTTAGTTTTATATTCCACATGGAGTCAAATTACTTGTTCATGTGGTGATTTATATTTACTTTGGAAATATAGTCCATCCGTTCTTTTGCTGAGGCATCCATGGCCACTGCTTACGAGAAGAAGTGGCCACTTTATCTTAGCACAAAGAACACCATTCTTAAGAAATACGATGGAAGGTATGTTCTTGATTCATTCGTATCATGGTCAGTGTCGAATAGTCTTGGTTGTGGTTTTTGAAATCAGTTTCTCAACTTCTAGTTAAACCTTTCATGCCTATTTATGCGTTTCCTTCTCTGTGAAGATTCAAGGACATCTTCCAAGAAGTCTATGAAGCCGAGTGGAAATCAAAGTTTGAGGCTGCTGGAATATGGTGAGTTTCCATCTACTTCTTCGGCCTTGAAAAATCACCGTGCTTTGTTATTTACCGATGATCTGAATTATTAAAATTTGCTAGGTACGAACACCGTCTCATTGATGACATGGTGGCTTATGCTCTTAAGAGTGAGGGAGGCTATGTGTGGGCATGCAAAAACTATGATGGTGATGTCCAGAGTGATTTCTTGGCCCAAGGTTTGTGTGGTTTACCGTACATTGGATTGTTTACATAAGCATGCCGTATGTGTTGTAGCTCCTTGGACTGATGAACAGTTCTGGACACGGACCAGATACCCAAGATTTTTCGGGTTTAGCTAATTTTTTCTGCTACATCCTATCTGCGTAGGGTTTGGATCGCTTGGACTGATGACGTCTGTTCTGGTAATTCTTAGTCTTCAACGATCATGGCAACCTTTTGTTCTGTGTTTCCTTAGTGCTCTCATTAACGGCATTTTAAGACCTTAGTGGTACCTCTAAGAGATGTTGGGTTTTCTTTCTTATACGATGTTATGTTTTTTTGGCAATAGGTTTGTCCGGACGGCAAGACGATTGAAGCTGAAGCGGCTCATGGTACTGTGACCCGTCACTACAGGGTTCACCAGAAAGGAGGTGAGACCAGCACAAACAGCATTGCTTCCATCTTTGCTTGGACCCGAGGACTTGCACACAGGTAAAACCAGAAGAACAAAAAGAGAAAATCATCGCCTTTTGGTCTTTATCGCAGATTTTTGCAGAAGAAAGATATGATTATGAACTGAATCCAAACCATTTGTGAACAGGGCCAAGCTAGATGAGAACCCGAGACTGTTGGATTTCACCGAGAAACTCGAGGCTTCTTGCGTTGGCACTGTCGAATCTGGGAAGATGACCAAAGATCTCGCTCTCATCATCCACGGCTCAAAGTAAGTTCAATAATCTGACTTCTCGGGTTATCCGATACAATTATATGTTCTCCAAAGATAAAGTCCTTGACTTTTTTCATATTTATGTTTGTATCGCTGTGTTTTCGGATACAATTACATGTTCTCCAAAGATAAAGTCTACGTCTTTTTTTTGGGTATTTATGTTTTGTATCACTGTGATTTCAGGCTCACGAGGGAGCACTACTTGAACACTGAGGAGTTCATCGATGCTGTTGCTGATGAGCTCAAAGCAAGGATTGGCCTCTAGGCTCGAACTCAGTCAGCCGAGTCTTGTCTCGATCATAACTCGGTGGGTAATGAATGGTGTTTAGTTCTCTGGTTGGGGAAAAGAATAAAGGAGAGAACTTTACGGAGGAAATGAGAGAACCAAACAAAGGATTGAAATTGTTGTTCTTGAAATATTTTCACTACTTTTTGACGATTTCGCTATATTTGAAATTAATTTCAATATTTTTCTAATTTTGTGTTTTTTTGTTAAACAAATACCGATTTAATCAATTGAAAACATATTTACTAACATTTCAAAAAACAACACCAAAATCTATATTAAAAAACAAATAAATTTTTAATTTTTTTTTTCAAAAAAGTGATTACTAAAATTGGTCTACATTTATACAAGAGTAATGTTTTGGGCTCAACAATCTCTTTGCATATACAGGTCTCTTTATTACTTATTAGTAACTTTGCGCTAATTGTTTGGCGGGTTTTTTCGTTTGGGTCTTTTTTAAAAATCTTTTTTTTTTCATTTAGGTTTTGTGTCTGTGTTTATTTCGATACCCATATTTTGTCATTTTACTGGATATTTGTATACACGACACGTGTCAACAAAAATTCGGCCGGAGATATTTTACGAGCGAAAAAAAACTCGGCTCGCGAAATACTTCATAAATAAAACTAAAGCAACCACAAACAGAACTAAGAACAATCACATCTTTTGGAACATGAGCGAAAGAGAAGCAGAGGAACCATGGAGAAAAATGCCATTGCCTCTCCATACAAATATCCAGAACAACAACGGGTGTTCTGGATTTCACAGCTTAACAGTATTTGCATTTACCTCTGTGCTTATTATTCCAAACATAAGTAGAAAGGTCACTAAGCATAAGCAGAGGCATAAAATAAAACACGAGTTCCAGCCACGAACCGGACCCGTGAGAGGCGGTTTCGCTCTCCCGTCCTTTTTCGCATTCCCTGAGATCCCGGGCTTCATTTCCTAAGTGTCTGCTGATGCATTCGTAAAATGTTTCCAGAGTAAAGAGCAGAGAAGCCATTTACAGGTTAGGATACGTAATTGTCCATTTGCTTAGGAACACAATTTCCTTAATCCTTGCGTGTGTGTATTAGCATGCAGAGTTTATTCAGATTCGTCTAGATTTATGTAAGGAGAAAGAAAATGAAGAAAATGAAGGAACTCACCATGTGGGGAATGGGAATTAGCAGCGGAGAGATCAGACGAAACAACAGGAGTGGATATGGAAAGCTGAGTTGTTGAATATGACGTCTGGTTTGATCTATCATCTTCAAGACCTGACCAAGGGGCCCTGGCCTTTGGCCATTCATCAAAGAAGGGACGGAGAGGTTGACCATCTTGTTTAGTGGTTTCTCTCGATGCAAAGTCAATGTCGAGGAAGGACGAGGTTTGTGCACAGCTGTTATGCAGGCTCGATAGCATTACTGGCCAAGTGGTATTGTTTTCTAACAAGCTTGTCTGAGCCCTCCTGTCGCTTCCAGAAGCGCCCGAGAAGAAACTATGCTCAACCGACTCAGGCTTCAGCCCTTCTTGCACTTGCATATACCTGGGCATTTCCACAGATTTAAAGAAAACAGAGAAAGCTGGCAAGTATTTATCAAGTCAAAGAACTATCAGAATCAGCAAATGGACAATGATATGCGACAACCTTTATCAGGAAAATTGAATCAGCAGAAAATACCCATCAGTATATAAAGAAGATGATTGCCCACAAAAAAGAAGAAGCAATTTTTCTATCTAAAGATGTCTAAACATGGATTCTACGTTTTGATTGAGTGTTACACATGCAGGAGAGATAACTTTCTACGTTTCCCGAGGACAGTATTATTTCAACAATGAAAAGATCATATGATGATTTAAACATTTCAAGGACTTCCATTGAGTGTTACCAATGAAAACTGACAGATCAAAATTATGCGATGAAGAGCAATACCTGTAATCCTTGCTTGGAATTCCAAAAGGAATTGAGTCCATATTGTAGGTCGACTGATTGTGGTTCAAAGAAGCAGCTGCAGGTTGCATATTGCCAAAGCTGTGCAAGGGAAGACTCTGGTAGTTTGCAGCATTGCCACCACCAGGAAACGATGAAGATGTCACACTAGAAGACAAAGGAGACGAGTAGGTACTTGTTTTATTAGTTTGAACTGATGATTCCACAGGCTTTCTTGAACGGTTGCGGCCACGGTGCATATGGCGCTCGCAATACTTGGAGTTGGGGTGTGCCTCTTTGGAGCACCTCCATTTCTTCCCATCGGTCCTCCTGCATCTTCCAGGCTCTGGATCAATCTTTTTCCCGTAGAGGGAACAATAGCTAACTGCACAAGACAGACATGATAAAAAAGCAATTCCTGTGAAATTAAGTTCTGCCTTATCAGTGCGAACAAATGCATTTATACTTTGTACCAATGCCATTCTTTCCTTCACACACACAAAGGATGCCACATGGGTCAGCTAAAAAAACAAATTTCTTGATTCTATCAGCTTATTCTAATTAAAGAACATTTTACTACCAAATATTTTAGCTAAATAGTAAATACTCAACTTCCTGAATAACTTGGACATGAAGTATGAGATCATATAAAAAAGGACAAAAAGTGATTTAACGGAGAAAGATGAGAGAGAGAGAGAGAGACTTAAGCTTACGAGAGGGGTGGTTAAAGAACCTATGAGAAATGTTCTCAAAGCTCTTCTGGATAGGGACCATAAGATCAGGAGGAACATGAAGACCTGCAATTATGTACTTGAAGATCAAGGCTTGGTGCTCAAGTTCTTGCCATTGTGACACTGAAAATGGTGATGATGACTTCATCACCCTCCCCCGACCGATTGCTAAAAGACAGATCAAAGAATTAAAATAGATGAAACCCTAACGTCAGGAACAAAATGCACATACCATGATAGTTTTAACGCCAAAAATCTGTAACTAAGGCAAAGCCCCAAAAAGCATCGAATTAGATTCTAAATACAACTTGAGTATCAACCAACATTAATGCGCACCCAAACATCAATCACTACATCAAAACAATTTTGGGGGCATCAAGCCTATGACCCTCCTAACTGCATTATCTCTAAATTCCACTCTCTCGTGTCTATGAGCAAAAGAACAAAGAAAATTAGCCACCAAGTTTTCCTTGCCTAAGATTCGATTTCGAGTGAAAATCCAATTTAGATCGGTCTTCAAAGTTCAAACCCCGGAGGAATCAGGTTTTGTAACTTCCCGGAAGCTTCTCGTTCAACCAAAGCCAATGTTAAGGGTTCCCAATCCATTAGTAACTATTGATTCCTAGGATCAACTTTTACCAGTAAACTTACACAATGATTGAATAACTCTAATTTGCTGAACTGAAGCTAATCCAATTTCAAAACTTTTTCGGCATGTTTTGCCAAAACTAAATTCAGATTAGATCCCCTGCGTGGTCGCCGGCAACGGTCGTTGCCCGCGACCTCACGGAAATTGACCATCGGGTAGCCCATGTCGCTCAGATTTCAAAAGGATATAAAAAATGAGGTTTATCCAGCTAAAAAAAAGACCTAAACCCTAACCAAAATCAAGTTTTTTCTTTTCTGACCGTCGCAGCGAAATCGGTCGATTCACGGCTTTTCAGCCATCTCAACTTGCACAGACAACGACCCCCGGTCAGGACCTTCGAAGTCCAGAGATTTCCCGGTGAAATCTCGGTCAACAGTAGCCAAACGGAAAGACCCACACCGGCAACTCGCAACGGAGAAAGAACAAGAGAGAGAGAGGAAGCAGAAGGAGAAGAAGAAGAAGCAGCATCTTACCGGGCTATGCCGACTGAAGAGGCAGCCAGAAGGTTTGCAGCAATGGAGAGACGGGAGAACTGGCGAGACCACCCATCACACGGCCCCCCTCTTGCCATTTTTTCCCTCTATTGAAACAAAGTTTTCGTTATTACATTTCAGTCCTTATACTACTTTAATAATCTCGACCCTGCCCCGAAACTTTAGTTTAGTGAAATGAACCCCCTTATACATAAACGAAATCAATCATAGATTGGTCCGGTACAATAACATAGGAATATTGTACCGAAGAGGGGCTGGGTCGGATGTTCAATGGAAGTTGACTCGGATAACGACAAACAAGTTGCAAGGAATCGAACAATGGAATTTTTTTTTAGAGAAGAGAATTCCAAAGAACTGATATGGGTATCCGACTGTAAGCCGCTAGTATTCGAGCTGAGAGATTTACAAGGGGTGATGATCATCTTGGGTTTTAATAGAGGAGACGTTTCAGTATTCGGTTCAGATTCGAATCGATAATAGTTCGGTTCGGTATACAAAAATACTGCGATGCGGTCCGAAACGCCCGATTTAAGTGTTTGAGTTCGGTTCACTTAACATTAGGATTCGATCATTTCGAATTTATAAAAATTATAACAGTTCGATTTTTATATTTAAATCCGTTGGGTTCCATTTGATTCTATTTTGATTAATATTCCCTTTTTAATGATAAAAATACATATCTTTCATATAAATTTTCATTTTTTTTGTATTTTTAATTCGATTTAATTTGGATTCAATTTTTCGTTTTTAGAAAAATAACATTCATTCAAGCTTTATGGGATTTAGTTTAGCTATAATTATATATTATTCGGTTTTGTAATCATATTTGATATGAGTTAAAACTTTTTTTATCAAATAAATTGGTCTAGATTTTTTTTTTACAGAGCATTCAATTTGATAGGGTTGCTCCATTCGGAAAGGTAGGGTCCATTTCTTTGATTATTAAATTTGGATATTCCACCACCTATATTAGAAAATTTAACTTTAAGCTTTTAATTTTATTAACTTCGTCTAATAGATGTTAAAAGACAGATGCAATTCAAAAGTATAAAATGATTCTCTATAAATTGATTGTTTAGTTGCTAATATTCTTTACTTGCTAAGTCGAAAAAACATTAAAGGAGTGTTTTTTTTATTATTTTATTCACAAAGCTAAAGTTGGATGGACACTTATATAAACCCTTTTTTCTCTTATTTATTTATTTAAATCCTCAAAAGCAATCAAAATAGAAAATAAACTAATTCCAAATGAAGTAGACTTCATATAATCAATCCGTCTAATGTAATATAAACGACACCATATTGATCTAATCATTTATTCAATTAGATTTTAAAAAATATATCCATTTAATTTTTATAAAAAAACATTGATTGAATTCGGTTTAAAAAAAAATTAATTCGAATTAGTCTATTTAAAAAAAACTTACATCCTTTCGATTTTTAGATTAAATTCATATATGATTACATGTTATTCGATTTAGTGGAGTTTTTTATATATTATAATCTAAATCTCTATCTTTAATATTAACAATAGGTTAGAGAGTTAATCACAAATTAAAATTCAATTTCATATGTTTTATAACAGTTTAAATTCCAATTTAGTTTATTGCTATAAAATCTAAATACAGCAGATATACAGTATGGCAGACTTAATTAGAACAACCATAAATACAACTACTAAAACTAGACAATGTGCGTATAATTTTATAGAGACAAACTTAATTTTATTACCGGATCATTTATTAATTTTCTTTAAAATTGGGATATAATTTATAAAGAAATTCACTTTTTCTAATTAAATAAACGGACATATGCCCTCGTTGTATTATTGTAAAAAAAAAAGTGGATATGCCTCTCTCTCTACATGTGTGTGTGTATAAATTATATGCATGCATCTTTTTAGAACAATAAAATAATCTTACATGATGAAAAAACTCAACTTCTTTAACCAAAAAAAAAACCCAAATTTTACAATATCCATCACCAGATTGGGCAACATATCAAATCCTATAATTCAAAAAAGAATATCACTTAAAAAATAATATAAAACATTCTTTTAACTTAACACAAAAAACAGGTACTTATGTTGAAACTTGAAAAACAACTTCCCTCAAAATTCTACTTATACTGAAAACAAATTTATATATATATATATATGTATATATGATATATATATATATATACACACACACACACTCGTTAAACTAAAATCCGGTTGCTAAATTAACCTGTCACTAAAGTTATGATTTTACACCTAAAAATCCCAACTGGACCACCTATAATAAATCTTGTCCACATATTTGGAAAAACATACTTTTCCCATTTTCTACTTTCTCCATAAATTTAATTTATTTCTAATATTATAAAATTGTCTATATATAATTGCTAAGTGTTATTAAAATTATTCTTGATTATTTTCAGAGAAGAAAACCCAAAGAATCCATTCATACCTCAAACTATCGATAATACAAATCAACTGAACAGCTCAAAAACCTTTTATTTAAAAACACATCTATTTAAAGTTTTAATATTTTAGAACAATTATATTTTATTAAATTAGCGTATCACAATATTTTTTTCTGTATTTTTATATGATGTTTAGATTTGTAAATTAATGAGGTTTTAAATGGATACTTTTTTTTTTAATTTAAGAGATTTTGTTGGATTCTTTTAAAGGTTTATTGGGATTAATTATATCTTGGACGTTTTTCAAAAGTTAGTTTTTTTTTTTGTTTTTTCTTATTTAAACTAAATTAAAAAAAAATAAGAAAAATTAATATGAATTTTCTATGTATTTTAATAGAATTTAACTGATATTTTTTTATTATACTATTAATGAATCCAGTAATAATTTTTTTTTGTTTTTTTTTATAATTTTTGTTATGTGGTTGAATTTGTGTTCTTATCCTGTTACTGTTGTCCTAAATAAATTTGGTTAGATCTGATGTAATTTTTGTTATATAATGAGAGTTTTTGTTTTAATAAAATGTTGGTTGAAATTTGTTTTACTGATAGATAATAGCAAATTAAACTCTCCCCCCCCCCCTTCCTGAGTCTCTATATATAAACAGAGTCCTCTCTGCGCCTTCTGCACTATCTTCCTCTGCTCTCTCTCTCCCCCCCTACACGGCGTATCACTTTCTCTTTCTAAAACCAAAAATGGTTCTGACACAGGCGGTGGGCGGCGACCAGTCCTTGAGCTCCACCTTCGCATCCCGCTACGTTCGCACCTCACTTCCCAGGTTAGTCATCGCACTAATCATCTGATTCTGCGGATTTAGTCGGATCGTAACGAGAGTGATTAACGATTCGAATTCGAAATTTAGTCTGATGATGACGACTCGAAATTCAAAATTTTAGTCTGATGATGATAATGATTAGAAATTCAAATCTTAGTATGATGACGACGATGATTCGAAATTCGAAATTGAAACAACTGAAGACGATTGGGGATTTTGAAATCGAAGGTACGAGATGCCGGAGAACTCGATACCGAAGGAGGCGGCGTATCAGATAATAAACGACGAGCTGATGCTGGATGGGAACCCGAGGCTGAATCTGGCGTCGTTCGTGACGACGTGGATGGAGCCGGAGTGCGATAAGCTCATTATGGCCTCCATTAACAAAAACTACGTCGACATGGATGAGTACCCTGTCACCACTGAGCTTCAGGTCTCTCTCTCTCTTATTATTATTGGTTATTCTTCCTTAACAAGCAAGCAAATTTGGCTAGAGAGTAGATACGCTAATATTCATTTAAAAAAAAGCTTATATTAATTATATTGAACCATAATTCTCTACAAAATTAGATATTTTTATAGTTGAATAGAGACTTTCGTTTTCTTACTGATGACGATGGTTCCACTAGTCTCTCATTGTTATGAATACTCGAGGCCCACTTGATTCGGACCCGATAATGTCCTCCGGTTTAGCATCGAACCGGTATTGATCCGGTTTAATTGATGTATGACAAGTGTTAAACCGGGAGCAAGAGTCATACCTAATTTTAAAAGATATTGATTTTGAAATTAAAGAGCAATATATACACGAAAAAACTGTTATCTACAAATTACGCGGAAAAGTAAACTTGCAGACTTCGTAAAATATTTTTAAATATCAAAATGACCCTATAATATATTTATTTTTCTCGATTTCTCTGAATTTGTATTCAGAATTAATTCTAATTTTTCAGTTTTTTATAGAAGATATTTTGTATATATTAAATATCTTAGTATTTCCCAAATACCAATACCGCTGATAATAATTATTTTGTAATTGTTTTATATTAGGTATATTTATATTTTAAAACAAATGTTTTGAACAACACTAATTGATATTTAAAATTCTTTATTCTAAAACAATTTAAATTTCAAAACATGATATATATATATATATATATATATATATATATATATAATGCGAAGAAAGTTTTTTATACATTTTGGCATAAATTTATAAAAGAAAGTAGGAAAGGTCCAAACAGGGGATAATGAAAGGCGACAGGAAATGGGGACGAGACATCGCAATTCACAGACGAAACCACAATATGGGTTTGTCGGCAACTCCTGCGTGTGAATGTTACCGCACGCTTTGAGTATACGTGCTTTGTCCGCTTGACTTTTCTTCTCCATAGATATTTTGTTTCCCCCCTTTAAGGGGAAAAATTATAAATTTACAAAAAAGAAGAAGTATATTATTATTTTCACTAAAAACCATTTCGATATCTTAATTAAAAGGGTTGATACAAAAACAAATTCTAAAATTATTATATATTATATCAATGATTAAGGTATGATCATACATATCATGATGTTAGAAAAAGACTCCATACAATTGTTGTTTGCACATGACTTTTAGGCTTGCATGCTACATGCATTTATGTAGATATATTTTAATCATTTTCCCCTTATATGGGTAGTTTCTATATGTTTTTTTTTTATATAATTAGTGATGTCCCGTAATTTTGAAATGAGAAAACCACACCACTGCACCACCATTTCTGCACTCGTTTCTTTATGTTTTTAAGACATTGCATTTTTTTTGGCGGTAGGATTGAGGCAAGCCCTTTTGTTTTCGTTTTTTGTTTTTGTTTTCGTCACCCCACCGTGTGGCATGGGATGTATAATCTCCGCAGGCCAGAGAATCATATCTTACATTAAAGGGGGGTCATGGGAAAGCATTTAACCATGTGTAATAGTAGTATTGTGCTCTCCACTTGATCCTTTTCCCTTTTGGGTAACCACAAAATTTTTTTCTTTTGGGAAGTGGGAGAAGTAAAAGGAGTATAATGGACAATTTTACATTTCATAAAGAAAAAGGGTATGATATGACGGATGATTATAGGAGAAGAGTGTCATCAAATGGTCTGACGTGAGTAGACAAATCCGATGAATGCGGAGCCGTTACCGTAAGCAACAAAGGCATTCTAAAGTATGATCAATACAAAAGTTTAAAAGAAGAAATAAAATAAAAACAAATCAGAAGAAGAGAGTCCATTATGTGGGATGTGAATAGAATCTTGATCGCTTCTTATTATGGGATACATCTATAGTGTACGGAGATAGACATGTAAAAATATAACCTTTTTTTATTAGATTAGAAATATGTGTATAACGATTTCAAAGATGGTAATGGGTTTATGTTTTATATTGGATGTATATATAGAACCGATGTGTGAACATGATAGCGAGGTTGTTCAATGCGCCGTTGGGAGAATCGGAGACGGCGGTGGGAGTAGGGACGGTGGGATCGTCGGAGGCAATAATGTTGGCCGGTTTGGCCTTCAAACGCAAGTGGCAGAACAGACGCAAAGCTGAGGGTAAACCCTTCGACAAGCCCAACATCGTCACCGGTGCCAATGTCCAAGTAAGCGTTGTTTCCTTTCCTTCTCTTTGTCTTGTCCTTTCTCCACAATAAAGGGTTGAAAGCGAAAGGATTAGTAAATTAGGGTTTTTTTAGCAAAATTCGTAAAATTCAGGGGTACGATGATGAATGATTTTTTTTTCTCCCCACAAAACAGTGACCATGGGTGGATAACTGGATATTTAAGTTTGGATACCGGTTCGAATTATATTTGGTTCGGTTATTTTTTGTTCCGGTTTTCTCCGGTTTTAGAAAACAATATCCATTTGATTTTTTTTTTGTTCTGTTCAATTTCAGTTGTTATCGATATAATATTCTTTTCCAAAGGAATCTCCGATTTTGTTTGGTTTTTTTCGATTATTTTCATATTCGTTTGGGATTAATTCGGTTAAGGTTCGGTTTTAAAAAATTTATATATTTTCCATTTTTATATTAAAATCGGCTTTGGTTTTGCTACGACCCATCTAGCACGTGGATTTCACGATTAGAAAACATACTTACTAGTTACTAAAATTGCCGTCTGGTATATTTGATAGCTTTGTTATATCTACCACATCAGATTCATTGCGGTTACCCTTCTCTCTAAATACAACTCAATGTTAAAAAAAATGTTCATAAATAATATTTTTTTTTTGGTAATGTTCATGAATAATATTTGATATGAGATATGGGATGACGATGCAATGCAGGTGTGCTGGGAAAAATTCGCAAGGTACTTCGAAGTTGAGCTGAAAGAAGTGAAGCTGAGGGAAGGGTACTACGTGATGGACCCTGAAAAAGCCGTCGAAATGGTCGACGAGAACACTATCTGCGTCGCCGCTATCCTCGGCTCTACTCTCAACGGCGAGTTCGAGGACGTCAAGCGCTTGAACGAACTCTTGCTAGCCAAGAACGAGAGGACGGGATGGAACACTCCGATCCACGTCGATGCGGCTAGCGGAGGGTTCATAGCGCCGTTCTTGTATCCCGATCTCGAGTGGGACTTCAGGTAAGGGTTTCCATTTTGGGTTTCGGTTCGGTTATTTATTTCGGTTTAAAAAAAAGACTAAAACCATTCGGTTTTTATATTGGAATCAGTCCGGTTCGGTTTTTATGAAGAAAAACACTCATTTCTCAACAAAAAAAAAAATTGCTTTGCTTTTTTGGTTATTTTTGTGTGGATTAATCTATACTGATTGATTGTCTCCCTTATGTTGTTAGCAAATACCACTGTTATTGGTTTTCGGTTTGGTTTGGTTTGGTTTGGGTTCGGTTTTAGAGAATTACACTGATTCAGTTCTTATATCGGATTCGGTCCGGATACGGTTACGTGGCATTTGGTTCGGATCGGTTTGGTTATGTGGTTAATAACCGAACTGACCACCACCTTAATTTCAGGCTACCGTTGGTGAAGAGCATAAACGTGAGCGGACACAAGTACGGTCTGGTCTATGCAGGCATTGGTTGGGTGATTTGGAGAAGTCAGGATGATTTGCCTGATGAGCTTATCTTCCATATCAACTATCTCGGCGCCGACCAGCCAACTTTTACTCTCAACTTCTCCAAAGGTATCTGTGTGCATATATATACACACATACATGTTACATGTTTTTGTGTGTATTTGTTTGTATAATGCGATCAATGTTTTGGAATTGTAAGGTTCGAGCCAAGTCATTGCTCAGTACTATCAGCTCATTCGTCTTGGCCACGAGGTGAGTCCCTCGAAACGAAGAAACTTATATGTGTGGGTTTTGTGTGTAACGATTTTGCAACGTTTCGTGCGTTAGAAAGCATTGCAGATTTTCCACGACTTTAATAACGTTGGAAAAATGTGTTGCAAATTGCCAAAAACAGGTGCAACGTTCTATAGCGTTGCGGATTTCCAACGTTTTGCAACAAATTTTGCGTTTGCAAATTGCATTGGAAACGCCGTGTTTTGTCGCAGTGATGTACACCATGGAAACTGTATTAACAAAGGATTTTGGGATTTTTTCTGAAAAAAAAAGGGGTACAAGAACATAATGGAGAACTGCAGAGACAACATGATAGTCCTCAGACAAGGACTGGAGAAGACAGGCCGTTTCACCATTGTCTCCAAAGACGAAGGGGTCCCCCTCGTGGCATTCTCCCTCACAGACAACAGCCGACACAACGAGTTCGAGATCTCCGAAATGCTCCGTCGTTTTGGATGGATCGTGCCCGCCTACACAATGCCAGCCGACGCTCAGCACATTACCGTTCTTCGCGTTGTCGTGAGGGAAGATTTCTCGAGAACGTTGGCCGAGAGGCTCGTCTCCGACATCGAGAAGGTCCTTCACGAGCTCGACGCATTGCCAGCTAGGATTTCGGAGAAGAAGAAGAAGACGGACGAGGAGAGACAGATGGAGGTTATCATCGGGTGGAGGAAGCTTGTGAAGGAGAGGAAGAAGATGAACGGAGTGTGTTGAAAAAGAGGGTTTGTGGCTTTGTGGTTTGTCTGAATGAAGATATGTCTCTGTGTGTGTGTGCTTGTTTATGTTTGGTGTTTGGTGTTTAAGAGTGCAGAGAACTCACTTTGGCTATTGTGTGTTTGTTTAAAACAGTTCGTTATTATTATTATTATTTTGTTAACATTAAAAATCATATAGTGATTTTGCACAAATTATTTAATTAATGGTTTTTTACACAATTTCCCGTATAAACAAGAGATCGAGTTATTGCCGTCCAACCTATGAGACAAAAACTGGCGTAGAAGAGAAAAGGCAGTGAAGAACTCCAAGAACGGAAGTCAAAGACAAAAGCCCTAAAACAAGCAAACAATATCACGTGTCTGAATTAGGACAGCAGATCTACGAATGGTCGGTTCCTCACGAATCTAAAAAGAGTAAAATCTTACATTATGCAAATATTATACCAAGTCTTATGTATCATCCTTCCTCTTTCTTCTTCTTTTTACCTCCAGGAGGAACCACCGAGCCTGATCACTTCTTCTGAACTCGAATCCCGCCTCGTCCCGTATCCTTCTTCTCCTTTCTGATTAGTGGCGTCGCCATATATATCCTTGAGCTTTGCGAGATTGCTGCTTGAGGGTGCTGATGATTTCTCCTTGATGGCGTCTCTCATTGGGGTCGGCTCTCGCTCTACTTGCATGCTTCGGCTCCTGCTTCTGCTCCTGCTCCTGCTCCGGCTTCTCCTTTCGTGACGCTTGTCTCTGTATCGCCTATCATCATAATCATCGTAGTCCCGTCTGCTTCTTCCTTCATAATCACGCCCTGATCTCCTATCATAATCATATCCTCGATCCCTGTCTCTCTCCCTTTCCCTATATCTATCTCGGTCCCTGTCCCTGTCTCTCTCTCGATCCCTGTCCCTTTCTCTCTCCTGTTCCCGACCCCGGTCCCTGTCAGACTCTCTATCAGAGTAGTCCCGGCTCTGGCTCCTACGTGGGGATCTCCTTTGCTCATCACTGCCATTTTTCTCATACCCAGGAGGGGGAGGACGACGGACAGGAGATGAGCCCCGAGTAGAAGCACGGTGAGGAGCACGCTGTCCAAATGAAACCGAAAGGGAAGCTTTTACAGAAGGCGGACGGCGGGCGCTGTCTTCAGCACCGAGATTCATGTCACCGGTCGAACCAGAAGGTTTACTCGGCAACTTCATCCTCTCAAGATTTGATGTGATCTGGCGCATGACAGGAACAGGAATCCGCGGGAACAGGGTATCAAAGTAGTACTGCAATAGCCGAAAGAGAAAGATCAGGTTCTTTCCCCAGCACAAGAGGGAGAATACAACGACGACAACAACAACATCGCCTCATTCCCAAGTTAATATAAGGTCATGGGAAGAAAAATAAAAGTTAAGATATCAAGTGAAAAATATAAAGAAGGCTTCATATCACACTTCCCCAAGTGCTCTAAGCATTGCCTCTAAGCACCTATGAGGATGACACAACTCAACAGAATGTTTGAATGAGGAATAGTTTTACACCTGAGCTTTATTTGGTAAGGGTGATGACAATAAACACAGCAAATTTCACTCTACCATATGACCTCAAGAGTCTCCATACTGATACTGTAAAAGAAATGCACAACTAAAAGTTCACTGATAGACCCAAGAAACATACAGATTCATAAATGAGTGGAGTACCACAAAACTCTAGTCGCAGGGAACAATGACGAGAGAGTACAAACGTAAGCATGCGTATGACTTACCAATCCAAGAAGCAAATCGCGTACATATACACCCATTGTTGTCATCCGTCCATTTGATCCTGGTGAAAACTCCTGAAAAGAATATACAAACTTATGAGTGGTTTAACAAATAGTAATACAAACTTCAACCGTACTGATGAGCTCTGTTCAAACACTAGAATTTGGTGTTTCTACTAGATTAACTAATAAAAATTACGACCATTTTTCAAGACAGATAAAAAAACATGATCCCATGTATCCTTGAAAGAGAAGAAAACCAAGGAGGTGAAATACGTTACAGGCACTATAAAGTTAGATAATCAAGATCAGCCATACATTGTAGCAATTTGGCGAGTAAACATACTGTGATAGACTTCCTATGATTCTGAATAAAGGAAATAAATTTTAAATCATGATGCAAGACTGCAATAGAAAATTAAGTACACCCAAATCTGTCGAAAGATGCTTGCATACATTTTTCCTTCAAAGAACTGAGCATGTAATATATTGAAGAAAAACGTGTCAAACAATTTGTGATTCTGTGTTGACATACCAGGTGCTTACCTCATCATCTTTGATGTATGGTTCGTACCAAGTCCATAATGTTTTTGGATCTGCAACATATCTTAAATAGAGAAATCCAATCTGCAAAATTAAGTTCCTATAGGTTAGATTAAATCCAATAAATATACAGTACGACATCATTCAAAATGCGTGGACGGTGGACATGAAAATTAGGAAGCAAATAACACTAGCGTAGAGCTAGGAAAATCCAAACCACGCGAAGTGCATAATAAACACCCCCCCTCCAGTAATTCAAAGCAACATATGAGTTTTGACAAGTGAAAAAACAGGAACTTTACATAAATCCTAGAGTTACTTTTATCCAGCACAACAGTTCCTGACTGAAAGTGAAGTACCACAAACAGATGCGGTTTATCACTAACACCAGTTTGTAACCGCTAATCGGGAAAAAGGTGACTTTGGAGAGTCAGAGAAACTAAAATAGAAGACACCTCAAACCTTGATTTGCAGATACTGCTAGCAAAGAAAGGTCTTATTTATTTGGGAAGGAGAAAGTCTCAGCAACTCAAAGAAAGAATGACACCCCAACCTTGTTTGTGGTTGTGGAAATCTGTTACCAAAACATGAGAATGATTATGCACATGCTCGTTTTATTCTTCAAAATGGGAAGAAAAAGAATTTTTAAAATGAAAACCATAAAGAGTTCTATTACCTGATCGCTATTGGCTTTATCATTATATTTCTGGACCCATGAAAGGCTACCTTTTCATGGATAAATTTGACTTGTAACAAACAATCCAGACTTAATAACTCACCAGAATCAAGTTCCATAGGACAACAGAACACATATATCACTACGTCAGTACAAAGCCTACAAGAATACATGTGGTGTGCATGCTTCGATAGCCTCACTACTTTGTGTGAGTGCGTGAGTGCACGAGCGCTCGCTTGCTATGCTGTGACAGGCTTAAAAGCGTATAGTAGCTAATATGTTATAATGAATCTAACAAACATTCAGAACAATTTTTAGATGCTCCATACAATTATATCTAAATGTAATTATGACATGGGATGACATCATCAGAAGTAGCATTAAGAATAGATGTTCCTCATTCTACGAACAGAACCAAAAGAAATGTGGAAGCATCAGGGGTGTCTGTGCTTTATCAAGTATCTACATGAGCCCATAACCATCTAAAACATATAAGCAATAATAAAAATATTCTACCCAATCAATAAAATGCTTTATAAAAATAGTTAAAGAATCCACTCACCGCTCTGATGAAAGGAGAGTCTGTGTGCTTTAACAACCCATGCATCTGCTTCACAGTAAGCTTCATGGTAAAGAACTTGTACAGCAGACAAAATGCTGTTGAAGGACCGCGGCAATTCCCACCCATCCATGGCTCCACATGAGTAACTTGGTTATAGATTTCATCGATTACCTCATGGTAAGTCTTTAACCTGTAGAGCTCCTTGAAGTAGTCGGAAGATAGAATGTTCATACAAAGGACCTTCTCCAGCAACGAGTCAATAGGCCTTCCACTGGACTGTATCTCCGCCATTGCTCGTCAACTGTTACTTCACAGAGACATAAAAACCTGAGTCAAACCATGGACAAGAAATTCAACTTATAAGGGACACAAAAAAGCAGATTCATTATCCATTCGCAGAGTGTGATTACCCCAACTTCCAGAGTTTCTACAACTTTCTCATGTTAAGATGCCATTTATGACGTTCTCAAGCTCAAATTGAATAATTCGCACACCAAAAACTTACTACTGTCAAAATTATCTTTGTTAACATGACAACTCAAAAAACTACAACCACCACAGACCAGCTCAAAATAAACTACAACCACCACAGACCAGCTCAAAATAAAAAAGAATAGATGGCGGTACCAGCTCAAAATAAAAAAGATCCAAGCTTCAATCACCAAATAGGATCCTAGCTTCATTCGAAACCCTAGAAATCTCAAACAGAAGCTAGATGGCGGTACCTCTCTCCCACGTAGTGAATTCAAAATTCAATTGATATCAGATTAAGGTAACCTAATCGATCAATCTACAAAGAAAGTAGCAAATGAAGAAAGAGACTGAATATTCGAACGAAATCGGCTAACGAAATGTTCCGAATTAGAAAAACAAACTAGAAAACAGATCAAACCCATCGAATACAAAGCCACGAAAAAGATATAGACACCTGAAATTCGACGAACAACGCAGGAGATTGCAAGATTGGTTCCAGAGGACGAAGAGTTAGCGAAACAAACCCTAGGAACGCCGATCGAACTTCGAAATAGTGGCCGCCTGGAGATTTAACTTGGGAGACTTTTAGATATGGCCCCCCTAATTTATTCGAGTTTTCAGAGTTAACCCAATAAAACTTTTTGGTCCTCTTTCGCTCTTCTTTATCTTAAAAAAAAAAATCTAAATGTGGAAATTTATATTTATATATTATATCAGTGATCAAAATATAATATAATTTAAAATAGTGATTATTTTTTTTTCTCCTATATTAATAAACATTATAATTAAAGAATATCAACAAAACAAGAATCCCCTTTATTATCAACAAAACAAGAATTTTTCAATAAGATTTAAAACACGTGTAACAAACAACAACGCATCTCAATTCGAACAGTAACTTGAACTGAAAAAGTTGACGAGGATATAACAAGGTCTGAAACATGAAGCCACACTTTAAGAGGAAGAAAATCTTTCCAAGGGTTATACAGACAGAAAAGCAAAACACGAACCCTCTCCTCCACAAACGCTGCAATAAGAAGCTTAAGAGAACATTGACAGACAATATCTCCAAAACTGTGTTTCCTTATATTGAACTATAAACCACCGGCGATCTGAACTTGGCTCTCCTGACTGATCAAATGTGCGGAAAAAAAAAGGCGGGCAGTTGTTGTTTTTACATGAAGTCGTAATCATCAAGAGCGTC